TGGACTAATTGACCCTTGGGGTCCCTTCCAACTTTGTGATTCTATAATTCCCTGAAATCAGGTTTATTTGAGGTTGTTCCTTACTCTGCAGGCTTTAGCGTCTGTGGTTTAGAACATGAGGATGCTTTTTCTGTGCTGTAAATATTGTTTTCTGTCACTAGGTGTCACTATACCGCTGCTTGCATAGCAAACTGCGCTGTAGCAGCAGCAGGTGGTGAATAAGATTAATAAAAACACATTTCCTTGAAAACAATTGCTCATTTATTCTCTGTGGTTTTAATGAGAACCCACTTTCATTCCATGTTCTCCTCCTCACAAATAACCTCCACAGGTTAAGCTACAGCCAATCAACAACATGACAGAACTCTTACTAAAATGGAATATTTAGTGAGAAGGGAAACATTTTAGTCACATATCTTACCTGTGGTATGCAGGTAAGCATACAGACCCACAAACAGGCTTCCACACTTCTATCACATGTTGGATTGGAACTAGGGGTATAAGGAGGCAGATATTTCCAACCCATCCCATGCTTGTTGCAACCAGAGCAGTTGTCAGAAGCAAGGCATGTTTTGTAGCTGGAGTCAGTCAGGGCCCTGCCCTCTCAGACCAGGTGGGAAAGGTCTGCAAGGCAGGGAACAGGTCTTCTAGGACTCACAGCCAAGATGTACCATGAATCTACATTCAGGAATGGATGTTGTCTACCTAACACCACTTTTTCCAAGGAATGTCCATCCCTTTCCAAACTTTGGCACGAGTCAAGTATAACACACTGAACACATGAACAGAGCTGGACTGGGTTGCTCACAAGCAAATTCACAAAGGAACCTGTTCCAAGCTAGGAATGTGGTGAAGCTTGGCCAGAAGGTAAACCTAGATGTCAGAAATCAGGACCTTGGTCAGCTCTTTGAGATCAAGGATAGACCAACAGTCTGTGTTCAACTGAGTGCTTTAATAATTCCACAGGCCGGATGTTCTCGCTACCTCTGCCACCTCAAAGGGAAGCTGTTGGGGTTTCCCCAGATGTGGCTCCAGCAGGGCTGCTGCCCACTTCTGGTGGTGGTAGTGATAGCAGGCCCTCCCAAACCACAGATGATTTTGATGTTGAAGAGTTCTCAATATCAGATGCTGGTAAAGCTGGCTCAATGGGCTCCACTCACAGAGTTTCCAACAAGACAGGTGTTTCTAGAGATTTCTGGCAAGTCTTCCCTGTCTTCTGAGTCAAGAGTAGCCAATATGGTGCCTCTAGATGCTGCTGGTTTCCAACTCCCATCAGCCCCAACTGGCATGGTCAGTGGTCAGTGATGATGGGAGCATTAGTCCTGGGGTGGGGAACCTATTAGCCCCAGCAACCATGGCCAATGGTCAGGAATGATGGCAGCTGGAGTCCAGCAACATCTGGAGGAGTAAAGGTTCCCCATGCCTGTTGTAGTCCAACAATTTCTGGAGGACACCATACTGGCGACCACTTCTCTGAATCATTATGGCCCAATTCCAGGTCCATAACATTTGGCCCTTGGCTATGTAAATTTTCCTTTACAAAGAACACATGACAAGGCTTTAGCAACAAGAAAATTTGAATTAAATAAAGCCATAGAGGGAGTTGTTCTGAGCATGGTATTTTATCTTTGATCACACAGATCAGAGTGTTCCATTGAATATCTGCAAAGGGCCTGAAATATTTATCTGAAGGACTTTAAGCTTCTTTTAAAACACCCTCTTTTAACAGATATTTTTAACTACACTTCTTTTAAAACAACAGATATTTGCTAAACACTAATGCCAAGCAAATTCTTTAATTCAAACCTAGCCATTCCTTAGAGGAAGAAAATTAGACAAAGCTTCTAAATGGGTTTTTTTCAAAGTGGAATTTAAATAAGAAAGATTACTCATAGATCAGAACAGATATAGAGAGAATAATTAAATGGATCCAAGGTCTGTCTTCAACATCTAAAGTGGATTTGCTTTTTGTGTGTCTATGTCGTGAGGGGATTCAGTATATGAATCCCGTGTGGGTGAGTGTACAACAAAAGAATTGACTGGGTGCCTAGATTCAAAACGTGGAGCTACCACACAGAAAGACCCAACAGAGTTTAAACTCACAAAAGTCAAGTGTTAGGAATATATGTTGTTAGACCTTTCTTATTCTGCTTACAACACTCCCCTCTTTCTACCACTTTTGCAAGGAACAGACCACACACTTCTAAGTAAGTTTAAAACAATTTACTTATAGGTTCAAAGGTCTGATACATGCATTGTCCCATACAGCTGCAAGGAGAACGCAGGCAAAATACACTTGGGTAGATAATACAGAATATAGTTCCAAGCACATGCTCTAAGCTTGGGAGGAAGCTTACACAAGTCCTCCTACGTCGGTTACATGGTGTATACAGAGTGTGTGAGTGAGGGAAAGGAAGAAAAGGTTTCACTTTCTCCCTCTCCAGATGAGAGAGGGCATGACCTAGCTGAACTTAGGAATCTAACCCTGTGCTCTTAACCCCTTCATGCACTAACTAGTCTAATAATAATAATAATAATTTATTTATACCCTGCCCATCTGGCTGGGCTTCCCCAATCACTCTGGGCAGCTACCAACAGAATATTAAAAACATGATAAAACATCATGTTATGCTTGATTCAATTTCCCACATATATAACATTATGTATAAGTTTGAATGTGCGTGGGGAGGATTGAGCAAAGAGATGAGGGGTCTGTGAGCATCCATTATCCACATAGTTAGGCATCCCTGCTTAAACTGAATGCTTGCCTTATTCTTAGCACAGAGGTTGCAAGCAGAGCCAGTGGGTGTGATCCTGCCCCACTGCATGCACTCAGTCTATTGAAGATCTATAATGACTGCTTAGAACTGTAGGATACTGATTTAAATGTATACAGTGCAGACAAGACCTCAGTTGCAAATCTTTTTTTGTTTTGTTATTTAAGTAGGTCGTTAATATTTCCCGCCCCCCGCAGCATCTAAGAAACATCCAGCTGTTTAAAGCCTTTAATTGATTAATCTGTACTTTGCGTACCTCCTGCGGTTGAAAAACAAATAATTGTGATGTTTTCAAAAGCAGAAGATGAGGTCTGAGGAAAGAATCCTCAAGGCAGGCTTTCCAAGCTACAGAGAGTGTTGCACATATGTTGAATTTTTTTCATGGTTCATCATCTGACTATTAGTCTGGGTTGGGGATAGAAAGCTAATGGAGTTTCATGACCCAATGTTCAGACTGAGGTGGTATTATATTAGTAGGACATGACTAAGCTTTTATATGTATGTATTTTCAGCATTCCCACCCAGCATTTCAATAAAAATGAACCCAACAAACAAAATTATATGGATAACCAAAATCAATCAAATTAAAAGTACAGTAATATAAATATTATAACACAGTCAAAACAAAAACATTATCAGTCAGAATTCAAGAGCCACATTATAATCACACTATAACACATTAAAATGTGTGGAACATCTTTCTATCAGATGTCAAAGAGATAAATAATTGTATGACCTTTTGTAGACATCTGAAGACAGCCCTGTTTCAGGAAGCTTTTAATGTGTGATGTTTTGTTGTGTTTGTGTATATTCTGTGTGAAGCTGCCCAGAGTGTCTGGGGCAACCCAGTCAGATGGTCAGGTTACAATTATATTACTGTTATTATTATTATTATTATTATTATTAAAACTCCTCCTCCTCCTCCTCCTCCTCCTCCTCTACATTTCTGTTATTCTATTATTATTATTTTGAGTAGGAGACCACATTGTCCTGCCCTTAAGTATGGATGGTGCCCTCTAAATGCTGATGGACTACAAATCCCATCAGCCTCAGTCATCATGGCCAGTGGTCCATAATGGTTGGAGCTGTGGTCCATCAACATCTGGGCATCGCCTCTTGGCTATTCCTCATGTAGCAGAGCCCACAGTGTCCTTCTCCAAACAGCCAGGGGAAGAAGGGCAACTGGACGGTTCTCCATATGCCCTCCATTTCAGGGGTATCAGCTGGGTGCAGTAACAGGCAACAGAAGACTCTCCTGGGGATGATAGATGCTCTGTGAGGCTTCTCATTGCTTGCAGATGAAATGCAAGACACATGAGGCATGAGGAAATTGACCAGAGAGAATCCAGAAAAGTTTTCTTAAGGAATGATCTTACTACCATCTTCTTTAGACTGAATCAGCCTGGGACCATCTTCCTGGCCTAGCCAGCCATCCCCAAGTCACCCATGCAGGTCAAGGGCCATAAACACAATTTCCACCATCCTCAGCTGGGTCTGACAAGAGTTGTAGTCCAAAATATAAGGAAGGCATCCCATTAGCTACCTCTCATTTAGATTATTGTGAGTTCACCCTCTAAGGTATTGAAACCTTTGCCAGTGCAACAATGATTCCATGCCTGAGAGTTAGGGGGAAACCTTGCATTCCATTCAATGAACTGAAAGCAATTTAGGCACATGAATGAATCTATCCTTCCCATAATCTTGTATGGTAGGATAAATGTCTGTTTTGTGGCCTTTTGAATTACAGAGGCAAACACTTAGGTTTTCAAAGCAGTATGGCGAATTTAGTTAGACATATCTTAAGCTCTTCTAACTAGCATATAGCCTCCAGCTTTGCATTTCCCAGATCTCCACATATCCAAAACACTTCAGCTGTCCTTATCTAGCTTCCATAGGCACTTTCTGCAGCGCAGCTTCTGTTCATGCACAGATCAACAGCACATAATTTTAGACTGCACATCACAGGAGCTACAATATATTCTGTTATTCATTTTTATTTCCTGTGTTTACAGTCAGGTTCATTTTTAATCTTAGCAGGGAATGGCCACTGCCAATCAATGCCAGCACTCCATCACCGGCAGCAGGTAGAACATAGAGACCACAAAACAGGCAGTGGTACATAGTGACGCAGGAAGCTGCCTTTGTCCTTCCAACTTAGCTTTGTCTACACTGACTGGCAGCGGCTCTCCAGGGTTCCAAGCAGAGGACACTCTCAGCTGTGCCTGGAGATACTGGGGATTAAACCTGGGACCTTCTGCAAGCAAGGCAAATGTTCTACCACTGATCCAAAGCCTTTCCTCGACAGTTTTAGGAGCCAGTGTGGTGTAGTGGTTAAGAGCGGTAGATTCGTAATCTGGGGAACCGGGTTCGCGTCTCCGCTCCTCCACATGCAGCTGCTGGGTGGCCTTGGGCCAGTCACACTTTTTTGAAGTCTCTCAGCCCCACTCACCTCACAGAGTATTTGTTGTGGGGGAGGAAGGGAAAGGAGAATGTTAGTCGCTTTGAGACTTCTTCAGGTAGTGATAAAGCGGGATATCAAATCCAAACTCTTCTCTTCTTCTTTTCGGCCCTCAAACTTCAATGCAAGAGTTCACAACAGAGAACTTTTAGTGCCAATGTTCTCCATTCCCACATTTGACCCTAGTTGTGACTGATCAGCTGTGAGACATGGGTACTCTGCACAAGTTCTGAAACAGGGTCTTTCAATTCCCACTTCACACATTCTTGGAGTGCAGATCACAGGCCCGAGCTCCTATTTCAAATAAAGAATGTCATAATTGCACACTGGTGGGTGTTTAGTTCTTTTTTTAAACAAACAAACAAACCAAAACAGCAGCAAAATTATTGTTCACTTTGCATATGTTCCTTTATGAAACACTGTTCAATTTGGAGCTGCCATTTCTGCAATTTTGCTTCTCCGACTTTGGAATATCAAGCTGCATTCTTTCTACATCAACTTTTCATCATGAAGATCCTGCGTTCAAAACTGGCCTGACAAATAATTAGCGATGTGCAGAATAAAATCGAAGCCAGCTCAGTCATCCATAAATCTTCTGGTCCTGAAGTAGCATACACACTCTCTCTCTCTCACACACAAACACTTTCTCTCCAACCAACACTGTGTACATTTTGTAAGCATAGATTTTATGCTCCTAAAGACTACTGGAATCCTTCCAAGGCTGATTCAAAGGTGTGAAGGGTAAGAGATCCATCATAGCTCAATGTACTTTTCTGTGTGTGCTTTGCTCTTCCCTGTGTGTAGAACGCTACCTTATGCTTAGGGTATATGCTTCTGAAATTCCCCACAAGCACCTTGCAAATTTTGGGGGATATTCTGACTATTGCTTGCAGTTTGACACCAATGTGGACTGATTCAGCTTGGCCATGTCTGGTGCACAGCTCTAGTAGACATTCATTATTACTATTTTTCATCCTATTTCCACCTTTGATGCATAACAAATCTTCCTTTCCAATATCCACACCAGTCATGAAGTTAGGCATGGACTTTATTATCTCTCTCCAACAGGAAGAGAACAGACAGAAGAAACATCTGACTCCACCCAGATACAACTAAGTCTACTACCACCTAGTGATAAAACAAGGTAATAATGCTGTTCACACAGGCACAGAATTGGGGAAACAGTGATCTCAGCAATGACTATTCAGATACAAATGCTTAAAAATTCACCTATAGCACTCAGATTTGCCATGCGGTGAGAAGAGCAGAAGCTGTTAAATGGCTGGTTTTAATCTCAAAAAAAGCATGTAGCCACAAGGTAGTTCTGAGGTTCAATGGAAAAAAGAGATTTCTCCTGAAGTTGTTCTAAGTATGGAGTGGGCCTTTCAGGCTAGCATTAGGTAGCTGTTCATGCATTCCATTCCTCTCTGAAGAAAATGTGTGCAGTAAAAGAAATTGAAGTGCACGCTTTGATGACAGTGGGCCCCAACAGTTGCAAGATATCGTTCGGAAAGGAACGGTTGTGAGATAGGTGAACAGAATTTCACAAAGCTCATTTTGCAGATCCTTAATACTGACTTACCAAGTTTACTACTACTACTCCATGTTCCCTCTATTAATGAAAAGATTCATTTGTAGCTTGCAAAATGTGGCAAGTTTTGGGTATTTTTTGAATAGCAGCGCACAGTATATTTCCTCTGTGGATACATGGGCTGAGAAATACACAGATTGTACCAAGGTTGCCTAGTTCACTCATTCTCTAATTTATGCTTTATCCAGTGACAAAAAAACTCTCCAGGTGGTTCTCATGATACCATTAAAATATTACAAATGCATACTTGTTGAATGCAGAAGTCGCTGAGAGAGATCAGCAGGGGTTTGGGCTGGGTGTTCATCAGTATGCAGATGACACCCAGCTCTACCTCTCTTTTAAATCAGAACCAGTGAAGGCGGTGAATGTCCTGGAGGCGGTTGGAGGATGGATGGCGACTAACAGATTGAGGTTGAATCCTGACATGACAGAAGTACTGTTTTTGGGGGACAGGGGGTGGGGGACTCCCTGGTCCTGAATGGGGTAACTTTGCCCCTGAAGGACCAGGTGCACAGCCTGGGAGTTATTTTCGACTCACAGTTGTCCATGAAGGCACAGGTTAATTCTGCGTCCAGGGCAGCTGTCTACCAGCTCCATCTGGTACACGGGCTGAGACCCTATCTGCCCGCGGACTGTCTCACCAGAGTGGTGCATGCTCTAGTTATCTCCCACTTGGACTACTGCAATGTGCTCTATGTGGGGCTACCTTTGAAGGTGACCCAGAAACTGCAATTAACCCAGAAAGCGGCAGCTAGACTGGTGACTGGGAGTGGCTGCCGGCACCACATGACACCGGTCCTGAAAGATCTGCATTGGCTCCCAGTACGCTTCCGAGCACAATTCAAAGTGTTGGTGCTGACCTTTAAAGCCCTAAACGGCCTCGGTCCTGTATACCTGAAGGAGCGTCTCCACCCCCATCATTCAGCCCGGACGCTGAAATCCAGCACCAAGGGCCTTCTGGCGGTTCCCTCATTGTGAGAAGTGAGGTTACAGGGAACCAGACAGAGGGCCTTCTCGGTAGTGGTGCCTGCCCTGTGGAACACCCTCCCATCAGATATCAAAGAAATAAGCAGCTATCCTATTTTAAAAAGACATCTGAAGGAAGCCCTGTTTAGGGAAGTTTTTAATATTTGATTTTTATTGTGTTTTTAATATTCTGTTGGGAGCCGCCCAGAGTGGCTGGGGTAACCCAGCCAGATGGGCGGGGGTATAAATAAATTATTATTATTATTATTATTATTATTATTATTATTATTATTATTTCTGTGTGAGAAAAGTAGCATGTGAAGCAATCTCTTAGAGGAATAGAAATATCTGTATCCAGGCATTTAGGGTTTGAAGCATAAGTGGGGAAAATTCACTCCAGATGTTGCTGAACTCCTGCTCCTATCGCCCCAGCCATGGGCCATGCTTGCTTGAGTTGATTGGATCTGTAGCTATCATTTCTTATTACTATTTATTAAATTACACTACAATGCAAACATTATTTGTTTGTTTGGCTGAAACCATTTCAATTTTTTTTTAAATTAAATTTGCTCATCACTTTATCTTGCCCATTGCAGCCCAAAACGACTTACAACCAACCAACCAACCAAACCTTTGGGACCATTGCAACCTGGATCCTTTAGGAGCTGCCTCATAATGCTGGAAGTATGTGGTTATGTGGGAGGAGCATGTGGGGGTATTTGGGTGAACCTTTACAACTGCCTACCTTATCAGAAATCATGTGTCCATGAGCCCACAACACGAATCCAAGTCAACCCATGATGTGCCATTTTGTCCTACTTCTGGATGCAGATAGTTTGGCCTCCGTTGCTGAATTATTTCCCCACCAACAGCAACTCAAATGAAAGCTCTGTATTGCCTTTGATTGCTCCGTTGGCTCATCAATGCACTTGTTCCCGTTGTTCCAAAGAACAAAACATGAATAGCTGACTGGTTGCAGAGGGTTGATTATCCTCAGTGTGATGGCTTAAAAAATGCACCACTTGGGAGTCCCTGCCAAGCCCAAAAGCATGAGTATGTCATGGAAACCATAGAGCAGGTTTGCTTTAAAATGCCTTGCTAGTGAAGGGTGAAAGGGTCAGTCAATTTACCACTGTCCCTTCGAAGAACAAGAGACGTGCCAATCATGCTGTAAATACTTTCTCTGAGTTAACCTGCGTTTCTAACCCTAAAGGATCCCTGCAGAAATCTCTCGCCACTGCTCTTATACTCCTGGCAGATGAACAAGGTGGCTGGCACAATCAGTAGGGCATAAACTCTGCAGATTTAAATTGGTTTAATGTTCAGCTAACCATGAGTGGTGGTTCTGAGGAGGAGGGATCGAACAGAAAGCTCACAGTAATGTCACCAAACTACAACCCACAGGTTACTTTGCGGGAAGCCAAGGGAACAAAGTTAGTATAAAATTGATGCAAGCTTTTTTTTGTGGGGGAGGGGGTACAATCACTGTTCTGCCCACTGAATTGAATGGAGCTCACTCTCAGGTATACACAGGGCTGAATTTAGGTTTGATGAGGCCCTAAGCTACTGAAGGTAATGGGGCCCTTTATATGTCCAGCTGTCCTTTGTCGACAACAAATTGTCAACTGTTTTGTATGTATGTTGAATATATAAAGGTAACAGGACCCCTGACTGTTAGGTCCAGTTGCAGACGACTCTGGGGTTGCAGCGCTCATCTCGTTTTACTGGCCAAGGGAGCCGGCGTGCAGCATTCAGGTCATGTGGCCAGAATGATTAAGCCGCTTCTGGCGAACCAGAACAGCACACGGAAACACCATTTACCTTCCCGCTGGAGCGGTACCTATTTATCTACTTGCACTTTGATGTGCTTTCGAACTGCTAGCTGGGCAGGAGCAGGGCCCGAGCAATGGGAGCTCAGCCCGTCGTGGGGATTCGAACTGCCGACCTTCTAATAGGTATCTAAAGCCATTTGCACATAACAAAATTTGTATCTTATCAAAGTAATTGTTGAACTGAAATACAATTAAGAAGTATATTAATAGTGAAATACTTTTAAATTTGGGGGGGGGGGCCCTATGCTATAGCTTGTTTAGCTTATATGTAAATCCAGCACTGGGTGTATAGCAGGAGTGGGGAATTTTTTCCAGCTCAAGGGCCATGTTCCCTTCTGGAAAACTTTCTGGAGGCTACATGCAAGTGGCAGAGAGGGCCAGAGGCAAAGTGAGCAGGGCAATGAATGCAAATTTTACCTTTGTACAATCACTAACCTCTACACACACATAC